ACTCAGCAAGATGGTGGGAAGATATTAAGTGGATGTCCTGTTCCCAAAAAACTTTCATGAAAAAACAATTCACAAGTAAATGTATCATCTAAATTGTTAGATCAGATTATAAAGACAGAATTCAGAAAAGTTTGCAGTGAGAGGAGGGGCACAATAAAAGAAAAAGGATGTTATGACAAATTAAAAAAAATATTATCTGATACATGAGTTGGAGAACTAGATACCACAGGCTTTGATGTGTTCGTTCTAGCTGAGAGAAAGAACAGGAATAGAAGAGCCTCATGGAGAGGGAACCACTCCATTCTGTACCTGCAGGAATAAAAGGAGCCATGGAAGTTGCTTGAGTCAGCAGAGGTGCATCAGAAAAAGGTGTCTAGGACACTGTTGGAGATGGAGTGCTTGTCAGAAAGAAATGATTGACTGATTTAGGAATGACTGCTATTAATGTTAAACCCACAGCCCACCAGCAGTTCAAAAACTATTAAAGAATGGTATTCAGCAACTTTTTGAATAAAGATAGGATTATGATAACTGAAATATTTCACAAGACTCCCTATATTAAATTAGATAAGCACCTTATACTTCTAGCACACCTATATCCATTTGTGCAATTTGGGGCTTAACATCTGTTTTCCCTGACTATTGTCAATCCAACAAAGGAACCAACCATATATCTACTTTATTGACTAATATATCCCTAGTGCTTGGCACATAATAGGCCTTTGAACATTTAAAAAATATATTTTTAGTTGTAGATGTACACAATCCCTTTATTTATATGTGGTGAAGACAAACCTAATGACTCAGATGTGCTAGGCAAGTGCTCTATTACTGAGCTACAGCCCCAGCCCACTTGAACATTTTTGCAAATATATTTATAGGAAAAACTGTTCATTCATCAAGTGGTTATTAATGTATTTTACTATTTGTTTAGACAGAAGCATTACAGAGTAGCTGTTAAGATAAGTCTTGGGAACTGAGGATGTAGCTCAGTGGTGGAATGCTTGCCTAATTAGGCATTGCCTAATCCCCAGCAATGCCCTCCCACCCCGTGCCTTTGAAGTATAAGGGATCTGGGTTTGAATTTTATCTCTTTTTTTCTTTTTGCTTACTTGGGCAAGTTATGTAACCTAAGCCTCAATATCTTCATTTGCAAAGTGACAATAATTCCTATCTTGCAGAGCCTGCAAAAAGGATTATATAACTTGTGTGAAAAGAACCATGTCACACATATAGGTAAGGGCTACTATTACTGTAACATTTATGACTAAATAAAAGGTATGGTAAGTCTCCAAAGCATAAGGTGCCTCAAAGAAAATCTGGCTCAAAAAAATCATTAAGTTTTTGATTTCTTTTCAACACATGAACATATCTAACAATAAACTTAAACACCATCTATGCAGGCATCTCAGCACACCCCTAGAGTGTCATCCACCCATACACCACTCAGCAGTCTTTGATATCACACCTTCCTAACTTAACAGCTACTTTCAAGCCTTCAATAGGTTCTTCACTGCCTTTCAAATAAAATCCTATGAAGAACATGGCTATAGGACACTAACATTTCTTTTTTTTTTCTATTTAGCTATCCAAACTTCTCTCCTTTGCCTCTCCCATTTATTCTTCCAACTACAGTCATAGTATTTTTTTTTCTTTTAGTCATAGTATTCTTGTTAATGCCTCTAACAGTCAAAGCTGTTGCACCACAAACCCTTTGCATGTAGTAGCACCCGCCCTCCAGGATTGAACCTCGAAATATACTACAACTGAGCCCCAGTCCTTTGAGAAAGGGTCTAAATTGCCTATGCTGGCCATGAACTTGTGATCCACCTGGCTCAACCAGCCCTGAGTAACTAGGATTAGAGGCCTATGTCATTTTGCTAAGAGGATTACCTTTACTTTACCTGGCTATCCATCAACAGATATTGATTCTTCAAGTTTGTCTAAATAACATGTTCTCAAGGAAATTTTGCTGTTTTTTTTTTTTTTTTTGGTCCTCAACTCAATGTTAGCTTTTTTGTTTTAGGGTGCTTTTAAATTTTTTTTTTTAGTTTAGTTGGACACAATATCTTTATTTATTTTTATGTGGTGCTGAGGATCGAACCCAAGGCCTCTCATGTGCTAGGTGAGCATTCTACTTCTGAGCCACAATCCCAGCCCTTGGGGTTTTTTTTTTTTTTTTTTTTAGGTGTAGATGGACACAACACAATGTCTTCATTTTTATGTGGTGCTGAGGATTGAACCCGGGTCCTGCCTGTGCTAGGCAAGTGCTCTACCGCTGAGTCACAATCCCAGCCCTTTGGGGTACTTTTTTAAAAAAAACTGTTTTTAGTTGTGGATGGGCACAATACCTTTATTATTTTTTAATGTGATGCTGAGGATCAAACCCAATGCCTCACACATGCTAGGCAAGTGCTCTACTACTGAGCAACAACCCTAGCCCTCAATGTTAGCTTTTTTATGGTACAACTTTAATTATCTGTATTATTTTGCTTAATATCAGGCTTCCCTAGAGTCTGATGTATATGATACAGGAAGCTTACACCCTGTTCTATACTCAATCAGAAGCTAGCAGATGGCATGTGCTTAATAAATACATGGTTTCTTGTTAACTATTCATATAATTTTCTTCGGTCTCTAGTCCTTTTTCTACCCCTGTAGCAAGCTAAATCTGCCAAATATTTGTTGGCAGGGTTTTTTTTTGTTTTGTTTTTTTGCAATGCTAAGAATTGACTGTAATCTTCAACATGCTATTCAACTGAGTCACAACCTAAACCTCATTTATAGGTTTTATAATTTCCTGCCTATTCCATTTACCTTTCTATCTCAAAGGGGTTCGGACCTCCAAATGCAGTCTGTCAAAAACATTTATTCTTGAAGGTGTAGACCAAGTAGGTCACACTAGGCCAGATTTTCTACATGACAGCTTATATATTAATCAGTAGTATGATGACAGGAGGCATCATTTTGGGGGTGGGTGTTTCTTTTACAAAGCAAGCAAACTTGACTTTTTCACAGGTTACATCTTAGAAACAATATGCATAAGTTTTCCATTTCTATACTTAAATGAAGAAATGTCAGCACTGGATATATGAGGTGATCTGCACGACCTGGCTTTCATCTATGCTTGGAACTTTAGTTTCACCATTCACTTTCATAATACTCAGTTTAATTATGGAAAAGTGGCATTTTGGGTACTTCAATACCTTTTACCTGTTTCTCTTTCTCATTAAGGGTCCCTCCAGGCTAGCATTCTAGTCAAGAGATCAGAAACTAAGCTTCTTCCATTTGTGTCACTAAAACTCAACATGACCAAACTCATATTATAAGTTTTCCACGCTCTTCCCAAATACCCACTCATCTCTTTGTATTCCCATCTTATTGGTTTCATCACTGCCAAATCTTAAGTTTTCCTCAAATCCTTTTCTTCACCCTTCAAGTCCCAACAATCTTGTCTTTTTACATATTTTGTTTCATCTACTCTTCCCTTTGCTAGAATTACTACGATTACTTCAACAGTCATATTACCTCCTATCCTGTTCTTGGAACTTCAAATCACACTTGAATTTCAAGTCATCTATTAATTAATTTGAATGTGTACTTAACATCCTTCAAAAGTTCAAATTTGCTTATAGACTCAAGCCCAAACTCTTCACAGGTTCCTACTTACCTCTACAATAAGTATCAGCCCTTTTACTGCTAGTATATCAAATTATTTGTAATTCCTTGGAAACAGGCCTTTGAATTTACTGTGCCCCTCACATTCTGCTTAGCATACTCTTTCCTTTCTATTGGTCAACCTCTGAACTTCTTCCTCTGGGAGCTATCTTGAATCCCAGAGCTAATTACTCTCTCAGAATTTTCTACAAAAAGTCAAGGGTCATTCAAAAAGAGCCTTGATCTGATGATCTGGTTAACAAAAAAATTACTGGGGTAAAATATGAGTGCACATTCCAGGAA